ACTGCCAGCTAACTTCTTATTGGTTCTTTGCCAGGAGGCAGGCATCTGACCTCTTAGTGACTAAGACAAGGTCAGACAAGCACGTGTTCGGCTTTTATGGCTGCTGAAATGGGGAGCTGGTCCCTTCAGCCCAGACTGGCCTAGAACTTCTGATATTCCTGCTTCAGCATCCTGCTTTGTGGCAGTCAACACAAACTTTGTTTTGTCTTTCCAAAGTCCATATGTTGAAGTCCTACCCCCAAAGTGATTGCATTTGGAAATAGTTATATCCACCAAGCCAACTAAAACAGCAGCTGTGTTCAGCATGGTTAGGGGTAATTATTTTACTTGGGTTATATAGAACTGATGGAATCTGAGGCTGGACAGCCTTTTGTCAGTTTTAGGGCATTCTTAGCCAATACATTCTGCCAAGTACCCCTTCATTGTTCGCTTCTGCATACGGTAGAACTCAGTCTGATTAGGGGTCTCGGAAGGTCAGGGGAAGTGAAGTTACTGCTAAGACCTCATATAAGATGGTGGAGGCCCGGCTGGCAGCAGAGGCACTGGGACATTTTGAATAGTGAAATCACAGGTGTCCTAGAACCCGGTCCATTTGAAGAACTTTTAAAAACCAGCATAAAAGTGTCTGGTGTGAGAGGCAGAAGTTCCTTGAAGAAGCTGGAGAGGAAAGGAAAGGTCCTGCTGGGATGGGCTGCATGGATGGGTCTCTTAGAGACATTGGATTTCATCTTGTGACTACTCAGCACTGTCACTTTGTAAATGCTATTTACAGTGGTGGTTCCAGGTGTGGTGGCACACACCTGTAATGCCAGCACTCAGGAGGCAGAGGCAGGCAGATCTCTGGTCTACACAGTGAGTTCCATGCCAGTCAGAGCTACATAGTAAGAAACTGTCTAAAAAAGTGAATATGCAGAATAGAATAGGGAACGGTTTTGACAATTAAAACTGGAGCAAAATCCTGCTAGGTCCCCACTCCCAATCATGGACTCTTTGGGTTGAGACCTTACCCTGTCCTGCCTCCATTTCCTCTAGAGCTCTAAGTAAACAGGAAGTCACTGTTGAAGAGCAGTCACAGTCAAAGGGCATGCTTTTAGGACTGTCACCTTCTGTTCTCTGCAAAAAGGGAGACACTGTTGGCCACAATTTCTCAGCCCACTATACTGTAACCTGTTCCACAGCCAGGCCCAGCTTTGATATGTCCTCCTGTGAGACCAGAAGAGAAAGCCATATTGACCAGACAGCCAAAATTCTGTGTGCAGCTTCCTGGCTCCTGTTTCCTCCTTGCAATTTGGTCAGGTGGTTTCCTATCAACCAAGCAACTCTCTGGTGTTTTCAAAGAATGATCTCTAGAACATGTTTAAAGTCAAGTGTTGTAGTGTATGCCTTTAACCCAGATGTTAGAAGGCAAAGGTAGACAGATGTGAGTTCTAAGCCAGCCTTATCTACATAAATAAGTTCTAAGCCAGGCTCATCTACATAAATAAGTTCTAGACCAGCCAGGGCTGTATAGTAGGACCTGGTCTTGGGGTGGGAAGATGCTGAGCAATCCCTACTCTCATTGGTGAGTATGGGGTGAGTTACAATAACCTTGTAGGCTTTATTCAAGTCCTTGGCATTTTGTCTTCCTAAATATTTTGGTTTGCTCTCTTTTCAGCCAAGGGAGCAACCAGCGGAGGTTTCCAGAAACTTGAGAACTTAGATATTTCAATGAATCACAAGATCACAGAGGAAGGGTACAGAAGTTTCTTTCAAGCCCTGGACAACCTGCCAAACTTGCAAAACCTAGATGTTTCCAGGCATCTCCCAGAATGCATCCAAGCTCAGGCCACCACTGTCAAGGCTCTGAGTCAGTGTGTGTCCCGACTGCCCAGCCTCACCAGGCTCGGGATTCTCAGTTGGCTCCTGGATGAAGAGGACGTGAAAGTGGTCAATGCTGTGAAGGAAAGGCACCCTCAGTCCAAATGCCTGATTATTCACTGGAGGTGGGTAGTGCCCTTCTCTCCTGTCCTTCAAAAGTGAAGGATACAGCTGAATATTACTGTCAGGTCTAAAAACCCAATTTTCTAATACAGTTCACTCTAGACAAGCATGGTGTAATCCCAGTACTTAAGAGACTGAGACAGGAGGATCAAGAGGTTGAGTCCAGACTGGGTTACATCACAAGACCTTAGTTCAGAACCAAATCGTTCACTATTACGTATACAAGAATATTCCAAAACTATCAGGCTGGTAACTGAAATCCTGCATGCCATCACTGAACTTATGAGCTATGAGTCCTTCTGTGGTCCTCCTTTGACAGGGGATGTCCTTCTGTATGTATGTTTCTCTCACTGGTTGATGAATGAAGCACTGTTTGGCCAATAGAGGCAGGGGATGGGCAGGACTAGGAGAAGAGGGGAATTCTGTAAAGGATAGGCAGAGAGAGATCACCAGAGGAGACACCATGGAGTGGAAGAAGGACCCTTCTCTGACAAGATAAGACCACATGGAAATACTTACTGGAGAAGGGTCTGAATCAGGCGGGACAAGAAAAGTGCCAGCAACACTCCTGTCTGTTGAAAGCCTGCATGCCCACACTGAGCTATGATGAAAGTCCTTGTATAAGGTCTCCCTCCTGTATAAAGACTAGAGCTTCACTGAAGTTCATACCGAGAACCTTCCATTGCCAAGATCAACAGGAAGTGGCAGGGGAAGGACCATTGATCTGTGTAAAAACCATAACATGGAAGGAGTGTTTGATGGAGGTAAGAAATGGCCAGTTTATCTGGGTGGTGGTGGCACATGCCTTTGATCCCAGTACTCGGGAGGCAGAGACAGGTGGATCTCTGTGAGTTCGAGGCCAGCCTGGTCTATGGAGTTAGTTCCAGGACAGGTTCCCATGCTACACAGGGAAACCCTGAGTCAGGCCCATCCATGATAAAGCAGGAACTGACTTTACCACAGGATGCAGATGACTCTTTCCAGGGCTTTTGTGCATTCACCAGCTTTGGTATGGCCATGCTTGCTTACACTGTCTCTCATCCATTGCCAACGTGAGGAAGACATTGGGCTTAGAGAAAACTGCTTTTGTTCCAGAGGCTTCTGGGAGCTACATATATTATAATAGCTTTATAATTTTTTGAGAATTCACTGTTTTGTGTGATTTAATCTTGTAAGGATTTCTGGGTATATTAATTCTATTGTGTTAATTGTCATTTCACAATTGTCACTGCTGTAGAGGCGGTGGGATCTGGGAGAATGGAGCCAATAAGTGAGGTGGACTAAAGTCTCATTCAATAGCCATCTTTATTCAGAGCATCAAACAACTTACACTCTGAGGGTTAAGAGAGGTCACCTGAGTAATGTTCTCTTGAATTCAAGCTGTATACAATAACAAGGACAAGCTGCGAGTGGTAAAGTCATGTTTTTCTAAAGAGCAACAGTTCTCAACCTGTGGGTTGAGACCCCTTTGGGGGTCAAACAACCCTTTCTCAGTGGTCACCTAAGACCATAGGAAAAGACAGATATTTGTATCACAATTCATAACAGTAGCAAAACTACAGTTATGAAGTAGCAAAGAAAATAGTTTACCTTTGGGGGCACAACATGAGGAACTGTATTAAAGGACTGCAACATTAGGAAGGTTAAGAACCACTCTAAAGAGGCACATAAAGGATAGTTTAAACATTTAATTGAATAGCAATAATGAGTAATCGGAAGTAAACTCACTCCTATCTGCCACACCTGGGAGGAGAATGAAAACAAGTTTCAAAAATGATTCCATGTTTTGGAGAAAAGGAGGTCACAAGACTCTTGTGTGGTGATACCCTGCTTGTACAAATGAAGCCTGTCTGAAGGTCAGAGGATGGAGCTTGCCACTAGCTAACCATTGTGGTCTGGAGGTCTGTACAGACAGACAGGAAGTGAGACAGCTGGGCAGAAACAGGATATAAACAGGGAGAAACAGGAACTCTCTCTCTTGTCTGCTGAGATGCTAAAGAGGTGAGGTGTGGCTTGCTCCTTCTTTCCTCTGGTCTCTCAGCATTTTCCTCTATATCTGACTCGGGTTTTTATTAATTAGACCAATTAAGAACTCCATTTACACTCTTGTCTTATTTTCTTGGAATTTTCTCACAAGCACTCAGAATTCTTACACGACTCTATTCTTAGACCATATTCTGATACAAAATGTATATAGAAACACCTATATATCTTAAATATATATGCCTTTTATTTTTCAGTTATCCTACAATAAATCTTGGAAAAGATTTCTAAGGTTAAAAATAAAAAATAATTAGTATTGGTTATCTCTGAGAACTGAGGTAAGCAGTCTTAATTATTTCCTCCCTTTTGTATTTTATTTTATAAATTGCCTGTTACTTTAATATTTAAGGTAAAAATTCAGGCTTGAGGTGTAGTTCAAAAGTGCATGCCTAGGTAGTATTCCTGAGGCCCTAAGTACAATCTCCAGCACTGCCAAAAAAATACCTAAGAAAAAAAGCATGAAATTTAAGTAAGTTAGGGCTGGAGAGATGGCTCATCAGTTAAGAGCAGTGGCTGTCCTTCCAGAAGACTCGGCTCAGTGGTTAAAAGCAGTCTTGGTTCTTGCAGAGGACCCAGGTTCAATTCCCATCACCCCATGGCAGTTTGCAACCATCTGTGACTCCAGTTCTAGGAAATTCAACACCCTTTTCCGGCCTTTCTGGATACCAGGCAAACACATGGTACATACATATATGTGCAAACAAAACACCCATACCTATAAAACAAAAAAGTCACACACTCCATACCCTAACTCCCTGGCTCCTCCAAATGAGCTGTTTTCTGAACACTGCCTGCACCTTAGAACGTCTATTTCATTTTTAAGGTAAAAACAAAACAAAACAAAACCAGGAAGTCAATATTTTTATCAAAGTATGTTTATTAAAGCAACCTTTATTAAATCATAAATAATATATCACAATTCCCCTTTTTGTCTAATACAAAAAGAAGGCTACAACTAACATAAGAAAACTATATGCAGTAAGTACAGTAAGTAAATAAATATATACAGGCAATACGTATGTCTAGTCCATTTGCATTTGACAAATTCAGAGAAAATACCTCATTATATATCCTATCTTGGTGAGTTCAAAGTCTTGTATCTAATTTACTTTCTATTCTAATTTGCATTATCAAATTATCCTTTAATGTTTCTCAACCTTTTACACTTTATACCTCTTTAGTGAGTTTCTTTTCTGAGTCTAGTAAACAATGAAAACTATAACTATCTAGTCTTCAACTCCCTCAGAGACCCTAGAAGGAAATAATATTAACACATGGGGCACAACTGAAACAAGTAACAATAACTATAAACTCATTAAAAAATAGATACTACCTGGGTGTTGGTGGCACACGCCTTTAATCCCAGCATTTGGGAGGCAGAGGCAGGCGGATCTCTGTGAGTTCCAGGCCAGCCTAGTCTCCAGAGCAAGTGCCAGGATAGGCTCCAAAGGTACACAGAGAAACCCTGTCTCAGAAAAAAGATACAAAATATGATTTTATACTAAGCTCCAAATATAACAAAAGTCTAGAAAACTCTTCCAACGGAAGAGTTCTTCACAGGTGCTGGTAAGTGTTCTTTCTTTCGTGCTTACATCCTCTCCCCCAAGCTTTTGCCTCCTCCATCCCCCCAGAACAGCTGTCTTAGCATCACCAGCAACCTCCACTTCGGTACATTCAACGACTGCATTGCGGCCTTAATCTTACTTGTTCTGTTACAAGCATCTGAGCTACCGATAGGCTCATCACAGCCCTCTAGGGAACACCTGCTTCATCTGCTTGGGCATCACTCTTGGACTCCTCCGAGAGCTTCAGCTCAACCCTCTGCTGTTTCTCTTCTATCCAATAGGGGATCTGAGTTCTCCTGACTGTAAGTGCGCTCCCTGGAGCACTCCATCCAGCTGATGGCTGTAAGGCCCATGCCTACACTACCTCCTCCCTCTCCAGCTCTAGCCCTGGACTCTATGGATATAACCCTAATGGGCACCGCAAACTTCACATCTCCAAAGCTAACTCTTAACCTTCCCCTTCACTGAAGTACTCTTACTGTACACTTTCATCTCTGGAAACTCCCTCTTGACCCCTTTAGTTGCTTAGGGAAGCCCTTGGAGTTATTCTTAGCTCTTCTTATACCACATACAATCTTCTGACAAATCTGGCAATTCCACTTGCAAAATACAGTGGATTCCACATGGTTAGCTCGCTTCCGTGAAATCTGTGGTGTATTTTCTCCATGCAGTCGGAGGATCCTCCTGGAGGGCAGATCATGCTCTCCCTCTGCTGCCTCACCATTCTCCACTGGATTCCCAGCTAACGGGAAATGCAGTCAACCCCACAGTGGCCTGTGTATGGCCAGCGGCCTCCTTCTTGTCCTCGAATATTCCACACACACACACACATTCTTATACAAAGGCCTTTGCTGTTGCCTTTTCCTAGGATGTTCTCTCATGCCATGGTTTGAATATTTCTCAAATATTCATATGTTAAAATGCAACCCCCACTGTGAGCTACCAGGAATGGGAACTTAATCTACTGTGTTTACAGCTGGGGCCTTTGGAAGGTATTTAGGATAAGGTCATCAAGATGAATCTCCCATTGAATCCTAGTGGCTTCCTGTGAGGCCAAGTGTGAAATACACACACACACACACACACACACACACACACACACACACTCACATGCGTGCATATACACAAAAGTGCACATATACACAAAGCACACACAAATCATGCTTGTTGCCTCTTGCAATATTATGCAAATTCATCAGCCGTGAACCTCCAGAAGCTGAGCCAAAATCAATCTTTCTAACCACCCCAACAGAATACTTTCCATTGTGTGTGACAGATGATAGAGTGCATGTGTACACACGAGTATGCATATGCCATGTCCATGTGCATAAAGGCCAAAGGTCATCACTGGTGTCTTTGTCACTGCCTGTATTACTCCCTTGAGAACCTGGAACTTGGGGGTTTGAGGGTAGGCTAATGGCCAGCAAACCACAGTAATCCTTTTGCTGCACCTCTCCTCTGCCTACTCTTTCTCCATTGATCCATCTCCACTGGACTCCCAGCTAACGGGAAACGCAGTCAACCCCACAGTGAACTTTAGTTCAGCCTTTTTCTCTGTTGTTACTGTATTTCAATGTGGTCTCATTATATTGGTCAGGCTGGTATTAAATGACAAACCATACTACCTCAGCTTTTCAAGTACCTGGCCTATACTATATGCTAACATACAATGTATCTAGTTTCACAAAGAGCAATTCCCAACATTTACAAAAAGTTGAGAATTTTCCAGAATGAATAACCCCAATCCAAATAAATGTATTGGGTGATAAAGGGAATTAAAATTAATGTTACTGTCTAATATCTGGCTAGAAGTTAACCAGATATATTAATAATTAATTTTAACCTGCAAATGAACCAATTAATTTATGCCAATGCCCACTGTGGATTCCACATGGTTAGCTCGCTTCCGTGAAATCTATGGTGTATTTTAATCCATAATAGCCAAATCCATAATAGTCAAGAGTCAGTCATAATATTCCCTTCTAAAAGCTCAAGTCATATTTTGCAAAGCCACTTACTAGGTCCTGACTATTCATTTAGTAATATTTACTTGATGGCTAATATGCTAGGCACATAAGGAGCCTATTTAATCTAGGTAACCTAGACAAAACTTAGGAAAGGAACAGCAATCACCGTATTGTTTTCATGGTAGTGGAGATGAAACCCAGGGCCTTGTACTTGTCAGGCAAGCTCTACTATGGGCTCCATCTCCAGTTAAATGAAGCTGATTTATTAATCTTTTCCTCCAGAGGTGAATGAACCAAGGACAAGTCTGAGTGCTTGACACCAACTCCCACCACAAGAATCTGATGAAGGTGCACATAGAGCCGCAAGGCCATGATGGGGAGAGAATGGCAGGGCAACTGGGTTAGGCAGTATACAGGATGAGGTAAGGGACATCAGTGGGACAGAGGGAGACTAGAAAGACAGACAACTGGTAGCTGCCTGTCAGCATCTGGGAGGCTGAGTCAAGAGGACTGTGAATTACAGGAAAGCCAGGCTACAAAATAAGACTTTCAAAAAAACAGTAAAGAACA